GGTTGCTTGGCCGCCATTGCCGTGACGTGGGCATGATTCTGACCGTCTTTCGCAACAAACAGTAAACACAGAAAAGGACCAGCTGGGCTCCTAAAGTCCCAGGGCCTAAGAGGTCCAGTTTCTCGTCCGTTCCCCTCGGTTGGTGAGAGATACGTCAGAGAGATACGTCTCCTCCAAAACAAGAAGAGTTCGAGAGTATTACAGTATTACCCTGGTTACTGGTTGAGAAACCTTGATGTCAACATCCTCAACATGGGTACATGTGTATAAGACCAAGTGCATTGACTCTCCTTGGAATAGTCACGGAAGTGAAAATGGTCCCTTAAATGACCATGTTACAGAAACAGGTGGTGAACTCCACTTCCATGATTATTTCAAGCATCTCGCTTGAAATACCAAGTGTTCCAAGTTCGCCAGCTGAGTCCCAAGTCCGCATCTGCTCCCTCCCACCTCTCACACCTCTCACCCATAGTAGGCGTTTTTTTTGCATGGCTGGTGGGTCCGAGTCTCCCACCAACACTCGTCCCCCCGCCGTCCGGTGCTCGGCGCGCAGTGACCCGTGCTCGGGCAGGGAACCCGGGCAGGGACAGACGACCCGGACCCATCCCCCGTCGTGGCGGACGGGTGGACGTAGCGCAGGAACCCGGTGCTGGGCACTGAAGTGAAGGGCCCAGAAGATGCGCTACGTGGCCTGAGGTGATATCATGACCTGTGGCATGTGATGGCCTAGCCACTGGCGCCCCCCGTCTGATGGATGTAATTACCCACTTTCAGAGGAAATCCAAGAAGCGGCTATCTGCATTCAACCCATCCAAAACTGCTTTCCCCTGACAACCCCATCTGAATGGAATAGTAAGAGACTCCACGTTCACTCCCAATCCGATTCAATCTCATCTTCCGTCGTCTCCCTACCCAATTGGAAGACACCAAGAGTGTCCCTCCAAGGTCTCCCTCCGCCGTTCCACTGCGGGGACGGCCATCGCCAACCAAAGTGGGCGTCCGGGCAAGGCCATGGCGATCTCTGCACAGGTGATCAAGAGGATTACCAGCCTAAGAGTGCATGAACATTTGTTGTTTTTTTCACAGGTGTGGCAGTTGGGAGGGAACAAAGGATCAATACTACACCATGACGTTTTCCTTGGCTAAGTCGTGCCTCTGGACTGTTCGTTCCTGAAAAATGTTTACCCAACCCCCATGGGCAACATCTGGGCGGAAATCATGCAACCGACTTTGACCGACCATCAAGATTGGCCCGCTTCGTTGAGACCCGTGTGATTTATTGGGGAATACGTTTTTCCCTGCTCCTTAAGCAACTCCAAGTTGAAAAGTTGAAAGATCATGCACCTGGGAAGACTCCGTTCGTGACCGAACGAACCATCCCCTGGTTGCTTTGGTCGCTTAGTAAAGTAAGGCCTGTTTTCGTTCCGTCGCAGGACGGGATGGGACTCCGGTCACGAACGGAAGGTCCTGGCAGCATGGGTTCGTTTTTAGTTTGGAAAACATCCTCGCCGCATGCACCCCTGGTGCATACCTCTGCCAGGTATACGTGTCCTACCCGTACCAGTTGTGTTTGCCTATCACTCACTTGTTGATCTTATTGACTAGTGGGAAGATATGAAGATCTCCCCATTGGTGGAGCACATCTGGCCTCGAAGTCGCGTCATCCACTTGCCCGGAGAGACCGAGAGAGGCCAGGGGTGCCTCTCACAGGGTGGGTGGACATAGTTTGACAGCTAAGGGGAATGTTTCGGGAACAGATTTGACACCGTTCCACAGCTGGAACAGATAATTCACAGTTTGACCCTTCGGGAAGCGATCAAAATCACGGTTCTCCGCCCGTTCCCACGGTTTTCCACGTTACGACCGTTACGACCTTTCCACTGGGGCGCTGGACCGGTCCTTGGACCAGTCTGAGTCGTGCTGTGTTCGAGCTGGGCACCCGCTCGACTGCAGGACCGGTTTGACCAGTTCACCACAAGAAAAAGTCGAAGGGATCAATAGATAGGGGGAGTGTTAAGACCCCAGAATCCCCAGAACTTTAGAAAGACCTTGCGGACAAAAGGCCAAAACATCATCATGGGGTTCTAGATTCAAATCTGCCTGTGTTGCATTCGGGAAATCCTTTGCTGCAAGAGGGGAGGGTGACAGCTTGTCAGCTGATATGAGCTGCTCAGCCTCTCAAAATCACACCTCGTCGCTTCCCTTCCTCAGCTTAGCACCTCCGCTTCGCACTCGCCGACTTCGCACCGTCGGCAAGTGTCCGCCCGCCCATGTCTGGGCGCCCCGGGCACTAGCGCCAGGAATCCAAAGAGGTAGTAGAACTGGTGTTGCCATATGGATGACCTCGAGAGCTTCGAACCAAGCACGTTTCCGCTAACCGGAATCCTGTAGGGACAGAATCGTCTGTGCGTTTTTGTCCCGATCTGCCACTACCCATTTGGAAGCGGGTGACACAACATAGGGTAGTTAACTCCTATACCATGAGTTCATAGACTGAGGCAGGGACTCTAGAGCTAAGTGGCTAGCATAAGGGCCGGTGTCGCACCACCGATCGCGCGATCCTTCGGAATCTTCCTGTCGACAGATGCACGGCGATCTCCGAAAGAACGGGGGCCGTCCGTGGCTTTGGCTCGCGCAGCCGGATGCAGCGAAGGTGGTGATTGTATTGGGTGGTGATTGTATTGTATTCGATCGAAGAATGTGTGTTTTTCCCCTAGTCGGTGGCATGGGACTGGAAGATCAACCTATGGATGGACCCTCAAAATAAGAAATCTAGTCATTGATCAACATTAGAAGGATAAAAACTGCTTAAAGACCTGGAAGCACCCAATCTGTTCGATCATGTTCGAGCCAGCCCAGAACCGTGTTGGCTTGAATCATTCCCAGGTAGATCTCTTTGCATCCAACAGCCTGATGGTCACTGGATTGTTGCCACGTTTGAGGCCCGAAACATGATGAAGAAGAGCTCGGTGAAGACTGCACCGAAGGGTAAGACCTGAAGGGCGCCGACCGCGCCGGAAACCCGGTCCCTGCCACCTTCTGATGTGGTCAGGATTCTCAAGAAAACCCATACCGAACGAAGCACCTGGGGTGCAAACATGTCTGCCTCAGTCCGATTTGCCCCACAGCACAAGAAACCTTCAATAACAAAGACACATGATATGATATGATGGTAGCCAGAGTTGCAGGCGGAGGTGGAAACTTACCAGCGCCGCCATTATTTTTCTCATTGAGGTGACCGTTCCAGGCAGAAATGCCCAATATAGATCACAAAAAGATAATTAAAAACAATAGAATATGTAGTCTTTGTCTCACTAGGTTCCTGTAAGGGAAAATTCGCGGCAACAAAAACATTTCCGCGGCAAGTTGATTTCCGCCCCTGGACGGGAAGAGCCGCTCTTTCCGAAAAAGGGAAGAATTTCTGCCGAAAGGATCTTCTAGATATTGGAATAACTACCATGGGTGCCCAGGTATACTGAAGAAGTTTCCATGACGCGGATTGACGGGGGCAGTCAGAAGTTGAGAACGGGTTACGAGACCCCAACAACCCCATGTTCAGCACGTCTCATCTTGAGAGATTTTCACAGAAACACAATCCTTTCTCGAGTATTCAAAGCCATCGTCCGTAGAAACTAAAGCTGCAAAGGGTTGGGGACCTCCCGTGGCCGCTGCGAGTGTATCCACATCTCTAATCGCAGGAACCTTCAGGAGCCGCAACAGACCTAGCACATACCATGATCCCTGGCCCACGGAATGGTGGAAGTGATGCTTGTGTGCACCAAAAACCCAGCGATGCTTGGGTGCTTATTATCCACCACCCCCACCCATCCCCACCCCGAAAATGCCTGCAAAAGTCCCATTGAGTCCCGTTTCTCATATGGGAGACCAAACAACCAGAAACAAATGGATGTTTCCCCAGTCCCAGCCATTTCCTATGTAAAGGATTTCAATTGCCATATTGGAACAATCATGTGTTTCTGGTTGTTTGGGTTTCCAGGTAAGGACTCTATATACATAGAATCTATAGACATCTTAGGCAACTCTCATTCCATGGCCACCCCTCCCCCCACCATCCTAATGCCTCTCAACTCCCCCATGTTCCCTGAACTGCCCCCACCCGTCGGCACTGCTAGTCTTAGTGGGGCTCCCCGACACCGCCCACGAGGATGGTGAACCCGGGCCTCAACGCGTGTGCTTGTGCGTACGTTGGCGCGCGAGAGCAAGCACATCTGGTTGGTTCAGGACCCCTGTGATTGGTGGAGCGTGCAGAAAAAGAGGACTCGGAGTGAACTGGAAGGAAAAGGTGTATCAACTGAAAGATCTATACGGAAAGATCATGAGAGGGTCCATTTCCCTCCCTAGCCCGGTTGCGACGTTCGACACGTCTGGTGTTCGCACAGAAAAAACGAACTCTGCCATTTTCTCTGGGTTTTCACCACGGAAAATCAACAGAACAGACTAGACACGGTCAAACTATACAAGGGCTTGGGGTTTTAGGTTCTACCATCCATGGTTTTCCCCTGGGGGCCATTGGTCGGCCAACAGTGCCTCCGTCCAGTTCTCTTCTTGGGGGGGCGGTCGACTCCGACTCGAAGCAGGAGGATCGTCTCAAATCGTGTCTGGATCGTTGTGCCTCTTGTCTAGTGGACAGGGGACCAACTTCATTTCCACCCAAACGCTCCAAACAGCCCTTGGTCCCTCAAAACCTAGGGATTTGAGACCCCAAACCCCCCCAGAGGATTCGGGTCCGACCCCTCCAGAGGATTCGGGCCCAGGGTCGCGTCATTTCCACCCGGTGCTTTTGGAGAGGAGTCAGATCGCTCCCGTCCCGCCACCAGAGGGAACGTCAGGCTGACGGTTTCTGTTTTGGTCTCCGCTGCGCCCTCACACAGCAGACTGTTGTCTCCACTGGCTTTCATCCTCTGCAGACGCTTTTGGTCACCACCCAGAACTGTCAAAAGCAACTGTTGTAGTTTGTAGCTCAACAAAGTCTTAACATGAGATTGCAATTCTCCAGGTGTGCTAGAGGCTTACTGTCAGGCAGGAGGGCAGCATGCAGTCCTCGCCCGAAAAAGGGCGACATAATGGGCGTGATGGACTGACCGTCAGGGGCCCCCAAAATCATCCGACAGGTTCTCGATTCTCGAATACGCCGCAGGAACACGCAGGAACAGTTCCCAGGGTGGAACACTCACATTTCCCCAGGCCGGGAAAGATGGTGAGTGCTTTTTAGAACTACGGAAGTTGAAAGATCCTAAGAGGTGTTCACTCCACCGACCCGCAACTATTGGTCGGAGACTGGAAGAAATCAACGAGACTGCACCACGCTTGTCTCGCAGCTCAAAGCTCGCTCCGCCGGCGGTCTCAGTTGGACAAGACAAACAAAGAGCCATTCTGCTCCATCTCACGGATGGCCTTGCAGCGAGGAGTCCTACTCTCCCTGGAACGGTTCGATGGCGGTCTCGAAAGAAAGACCGCCTTTCTCCAAGGGGGTGAACTTCACTTCCATGTTCTAGTTCCAGGGAGATAGTGCCAGGGAGAGTAATACATGCGTCTAGAAACGTTTCTGGGGAGTCTTTTGTCGAGGACGTTGGCGTCCTGTGAGGCAGCACCAACAGCACAACACATTGGAGGTGTTCCAAATGAGAAGGAACAATGTTGGCTTACGAAACGGGGCTCCTGGACGAACGGAGCGATCGAACGCTACGGAGTTGGGGACGTCAGGGGGAGGAAGACGGATTTCTTCCACCTGTTCACCTTCAGGTTCTACCAAAGAACCCCAGCTCAGGACGCGAAGTACCCTGCATTTGGTGCTCTCTTCCTGGAACCGGAAGTGGAGGAAAAAACCCTGTTGGGTATTGGGATTAATGGTTGGGTGTTGAGCATGCCATCCACGGAACCATCATTGTTCCAGGGAGTGTAGGAAGCCTTCTTCAACTTTGACTTGTCCCTGAAATCCAAGCTGATCCAGCCTTCGCCCCTCCTGTAGATGTTTGTAGTTCTAGACTTTCAACATGGACATGATTGAAATCGTCTCATACCTGGATCTTCCAACTATGCAAAAAGAATATGCCGAATTTGGCGAGTTATTTGGACGATAAGATATGAGCAGGCAGACACTTTGCATAGAATTAAGAAAATCCAGATATGACCTCTCATGTGATGTCCCTCTTCTCGAACTCTCTACCACCCACTCTCCACCAACCGTCTCCCTCGACCAAAAAAAGAACCCTCATGACCGCCGCTGACCTGCACGTCATCCGCCAGCACTGTAGGATCACGGTGCACCTGGACGCAAATGCCAATCAAGCCTCAGAAGCGCAAGATAGTTGATGTCACAAAAAGGATCGACCATACAACCGGTCGCATCCTTCGACCTTTGCGAGGCTTCTGCCTTTGCGGCGTGTCTTTTTGGACGGACGGCGTCTAGTCGATGGGGGGGTTGTGTGTTTGTTGGGGGTCGTTGGTGAAGGACTCTTCCCCCCAAAACCCATCCCAGTGGTCTCGTTTATCACTGGGCTTGTCATGGTGGAAAACCCTGTGACACATCGAGTGGAGTCCGTGACACATCTCCTGGTCGGACGGAAGGTCGGGAACTGGTCAGGCGAACCGTTTGTGTGGTGTTTGTCGTGATTGAAGCTCCTCCAACCCCAACCCCACTGGGTTCGTCGTCACTGGTTCCGATGTCAGTCATTCCTTCTTCGTCTTCGGAATACCCAGAGAAACTCCCAGTGCGCTGAACGTCATCGACGGGAGGCTGAACAGGTCGATGGTCTTCTCTACTCGTCGCCCCGCGTGCAAGTTCTCCTCCAAGAACACCACCTCAGGAGAGCACAAGCAGCAAGTGCAGTGCAGCAGTAGCTGGGTCATAAGCTCAATGTTTGATTTTTATGTAATTTAATTGAGGGAAGGATGAGCATAAATGCACTACAAGCTGTATATATGCATGTCTATGACAGGTCCCAAATGACTCGCAGTTCACAAACAGTTTGGTGGTGCAATCTCGGGGGTCATATATCCTCTGACACTCCAGGTCTGTTCTTCTTTGACTGTTTGCCAATGGGGTGGTCTATTTATGGGTCAATGGTCAATGTAGGCACAGATTCCAGTCACGGATCCAGGACGGCATCTGTACCGAGAAAGCGTTTCCGAGGACCTCGTGCGAAGCCCAAAAAACCACCAAAGAACCATTAATTAAGGACTTTACAAAACCAGGTTAACCATTCTGTTACTTGTAATATCGTTTAATGTTGTTTGGTCTTTGAAGGCTATAGGGCACCATCATTGGCAAACCTGGGGCCTCCGGTCTCCGCAGGTTCGGACGAGTGTGTTCGGACGAGGCGTTTGGGGGGAGAAGTCATCACCCGTTTCTGAGGATTGGCCGTTGCGGTCCATCCTCAAAAAAGCCATAGAGATACGGGACGGATCAATTGAACATTTATGGCAACTTCAGGTGCCGCCCAACCCTCCCCCCAGTTCCTCTTTGCCCCCTTCCTAACCAGGATCTTGCCATGTGGCGAATCCCCGCCGTACCTCCCGCCACCCTCCCCTCCTCTCCTCCCTCAGCGGGGGGGAGGCGACCAGCGGAACACATCGGTGGCCCACCGCTCCATCGATCAAGGCACGGATTCAAGGTCGCGGACCTTCTCGAAGTGGGTGGATTCCACGTGGCCGTCGTGGTAGGAGACCAGCATCGAAACCTGTCCTCAACGATGTGAACGATGCAGACGGGGTTCAGGGGGTGGGAGTGAGTGGGGGAAATGGCAGGAGGTGGTTAAAACCACCCTGTGTCTTTTGTTCAAGTGAGGTCTGAGGGGGTTCTAGATTCTAGAACTCAACACCAAAGAACAGACACAAAACATACACGTGATGTCACGTGGTCATAAAGATTGCTGTTTCCGTTAAAGAACTGTAGAAGTTGCAAGATAATTGTGCATCAGTGAGAACTCGCTCTTCTCAAGCGAGATCGCGCTTCGTCGAGGTTCCTTTAGTTTTGGAATGCTGAAACTCTATACTCTATACCCAGGTTCTACCAACAATCCTCCCAATTCATGGCCTCTTCTGATCAAAACAGCTGTCAAATGGAATGGTTCGGCCATCCGACTCTACTCCCTTCACCACAGCGCTACCGATCCGCCGAGACTGCCCCCGCCTGAGGCCAAAAACTCCCGTGGCACGTCGGGTAGGCGCTGGAAGGCATCGGCGTCCAGGAAGGCGTCCACACAAGCATCGACCTGTCCGCTGCTGCGCAGGTCAGTTCGATGCCATGAGGGAGAAGGAAGCATGGCATTGAAACTGGATTGGTCTGCCCTCCATCAACTTCCTAATATAATTCATCAACACATTCTTGAAACATCTTATCGGATGTGGTATGGAATGACTTCCTAGAAGCTGGAGGGTCCTTCCGATGGTCCTTGCTTTCTTAAGTGAGGGTGTCTCCCAAAAGGTGTCCACAATCACTTATTCCAATGGCTCCAAAGTTTACACCCGGCACCCTCAAACCCCAAAAACCTCTGGGTTGAACTCTGCCCAAATCCATACCCAACCACTGAACTCTCACCTCAAACATCCAAAACAAAAAACCCGATGCCCAGCACTCCGCCCAGCACTCCGCCCCACCCTTCCTGGGTGTAGCCGGTCATGGCATGGGCCAGAGGCATCCAGGATCCGGCCACACCGTGGCAACGGCTGTTGACCTCCACCAGGCAAGGGCCCGTCTCCGTCATCATCACCTGCGCCAACGAACCGCGTGAGGTGGGACGGTCGACGGGCGAGCCAAAAGAGGAAGACGGCGTGCGACGCGGCAGTGGCATGAACCCGGAAGCCTCGATGGTGTTGGTTCTGTCCTCGATGGCTTGAGGCATCAATGCATTGATCAGCTTATGATTTGCTTGTGTGTCTGAATGATTTCAATTGAACAAATTTACTACAATTTATAACACGGTAAATGGGCAAGTACACCAAAAACCATTGGTTGGGGCAACAGGACTTGGGGTAACCCATGTCTGTCGCTCGCTCCCCCGATCCCTCTATTGAAATACACACCCATGTATGAATCAGAATCAACCAGGAGCTTCAGCAAGAATATTCCATTGGACTGTTGGCGGTCGCCCGGGCTTCTCCCCTTTTCGTCCTGGCCTCAGTGTGTGTGGCACCATCAGTGATTCGGAGAGCGTCCAGGCAGCCGCGGGTGTAGGCAATGAGCCTCAAGGCAGCTGCGGATGCACCCAGGGACCAGGGAAGCAATCAATTTTGTTGGACAGTTGGAACGATTGGCTACCAGGATATCTTCTAAAAAGTTCCCAGTTAAAACTTGGACGACCTCTCACTGGGTCACTCTTGAAGTCCATGCACAGGTTCAGTTCGTGATGGTCGAAAGGTTTCGCATTCGGACCAATTCGGCACAGGCAAACCAAGAGAGGTTATATAAGTGACCTGAACGAATGGACCCGGAAAACCAGGCTACCTATGATGGGATAGCCGAACGTTCAGGTCCTGACCCACCTCTGTTGGTAACGAAAGAACCGGTCGCCTCCACGACGTTCCACGACCGGAAACCCTCTTCAGACGGTTCCGAAGTGAAGAAGTGAAGACGGAACCCATGGTGGTCAACAACGCGTGGAAGCGAAGACCGACCCGCACATTTCGACGGTCAGAATGTGGCGCGTCTGAAAGCAAACTTGAAGGAGTTGGAACACCATACTAATGTATACTATAAGTATTAATGATGCTATTCATCCCAACCAACCTGCCTAGCTGCATGGCAGAATGCAGCAGATGTTTGTGTGGCATGTTCACTGTTTGAGGCGGCCCTGAACTCGCGCGCGACGAGCGCGAGACCGAACATGGACCGACACTCCCCGACGGACACTCCCCGACTGTTTGCTTCCCTGGAAAAGTGAGGAAAGTGAGGCTTCCCTGTCCGCCTGTTCTGGTTGAGTGGAGAAACCAACACGCAAAGTGGAGGGAGGAACACCATGAAGGACCTGAACGTTCGGCTATCCCAGTTCGGTAGCCCTGGTGACGGGTCTTATAAGGTCACTTAACCTCTCTTGGCAGGCGGAAGGTTTCGAAGGTTGTTCTGGTTGACCTGCAGGTCAGTCGTTCCCTGCTGTGTCAGTCGTTCCAGTCACTCCCTGAGTGTCCAAGAAACTCCTGCGCCACCTGCTGGTCCGAAGGAACACATTGTTGCCCGAAGCACACGAAGCCAGCACCATTGACCGGGCGACGGTCATAGACCCAGACCATGGTCCTCAGCTGGTGTCTTGATCCTCCCTATTTAGACCCCGAAAGTTCCGAACTTCCTGAAGACTTCAGTGGGTTAAACTGGGGCAAACTATCATGAAAAAAGAGAAAATGTCGTTTAGGCTTCCAGGGAATTGCTATGGGCAAGAACGATCGTATTACCACCTGAGGAAGCCTTGAAACGTCGTTGTTGTTGACAATGTTCTGTCTGAAGTGTTCTATTTCGATAGCAAAACCTGCTATCCCACGTGTCATGTCTGGGGTTTGGCTTTTCAGGCCGTGAAGCCTCCAAACCCACAAACATCGAAGCGCGGCGAGAATCGCCGAAGCGCGGCTTCTGAAGTTGCTTCTGAAGTTGTCTAGTCACTATAGTCATTAAAATCCCACTGGCCAAAAAGGCAGTGGATACTCCCTGACAGCCTGAAGAACAAGCATCTTCCATGTCTTTCTTGGTTGGTGCAAGATTTGTGATGGTACCCCTTGTCCAGTTTCAACAGGAGGGAAGGTCTGACTCTCTCAGTTTACCAGTGAACCGAACTTTCCAACGTGCCAATCCTCCAGAAGCTTTCCCACTTTTCCAGAGTAAACCCCATCTCTCACTCCCAAGCGCATTGGTCCAAGCTTTTCCTGGGTAGGAGGTGTACAGTGGTTTCGTTCGATGGCGCTGGCACCCCTACATGTCTTAGACAGGTGGGGTCCAACAATTGCGCCACCAAGCTTGGACATGTTGTGCCATCTAAGATGGACCGAAACCAAGTTCGGTGGTTTTTGGACACCCCGACTCACCTCTAAGAGGCGTTTTATGGTAGAACCCCCTTGGTGTCGGTCCTGGTACTCTCAATCCAGTATCATTTGTCCCGCTGAGCATCCGTACTCCCCGCCCATCACACGACCCGAGCTCCAGTTCCTCCCAAGCGTCGTCTTGTGCACGCCGTCGCGGGACACATTGTCCACGATGTACCTTGCATGTGAGTGAGTGGAATGAATCACTTGGAAAAGAGCGAACGGAACATGAAGGAGTCCGAATCTGATGGTTCTTTTTGTGAAAAACATCATATGGCGATGGGTCAAAACACGAGCACCCTCATTTTGACCCCGGGTCAAATGAAGAGATTGCTGGATGTCAACCTGCCGTGCTTCGGTGGGGAAGGTTTTGACTCACGGCCATCCTCTGCGCAATGTCTCTTACCCTGCAGAGGACCGGATGGATCCCTAGAGCCACGTCGGGTTGGTCTTCGGACAATGGTCGAAACCACCACGGGTCTTTCTTCTCATGCTCCTTCCATCCAACAGTCACGTGTTGTTGTTTTCATGAAAGCGAAGTTGCTAGTCTGACTACGGGGCCATCCACTCTGTGTTGAAGGGAGAGAACTGACCATCCCCAGGGAGTCAAAGACTATAAAAAGAATGGTCTTTAGGGGACCTGAAAGGGAACTTCCTTTACTTCAACCGGTCAAAATATAGTCTTTGGACTTCTAGGGCATCTATAGAGCCAGACACCATCATAAGTCAGATGCCTATAGGTCTTTTTGAGCAATGGCAGGCCTCGTGAGCTATTCCAAGATTAGTTGGTATAGCCTCAAGACATACTTGGAGTGCCATAGAGTACCCAGTCCTAGTAAGACGAACTAGACAAGCATCTCCAACCCCCTCTATATAGTTAGAGGAACACATCTTCCATCATCTTCCATCATCTTTGCTCAATTGTTTCTTGTCATAATCTGATCTGTCTTTTCATTCAAGGACTCAAGGCCGGTTCTCTCTCCCACGATTGAAGCAACGAACGCTTCGTAGCTCCTCTGCTCCAAGCAACTCTGTCCCCCTCAAGTACTCTTGCAGCAGGACCGCTGCCCTTTGGGGGCCCGCTTTCCGTTGCGAGTTCCTGGGCTCCGTCGCGAGCAGGGTGACGCACTCAGAGTCGAAGAGAGGTGATTCACAGCTTAGGGTAACTGGACATCTGCCCCTTGGCAACAACCGAAAACCACCTAACAACCTTCTCCGGCCCCAAGTCTATTCTATATAGCCTATCGCGCTTTCCAATGACCCACGACCATCGCACCAAAGCGCCCCCAAATTCCCTTCACACATGAAAAAATAGATAGTTCCGCAGTTCCTTCCTCCGCCACCCAGTGCAATACTAATTACCTACGCATCGCACCTACCTTCATACTACCTTACAATACTAATTACCTACCCATCTCTTCCACCTTCCACCCAAAAAATATTCGCTACATCCTCGGTACATCCTCCTTCCCTCCTCCCACGTCCCCACGCCCACTCCACGCGTCATCAGCAGCTGGAAGTGCTGCTCCGCCTCCACCGGCGTCGCGCAGAGCTTCACGCCATCCGATCCGCCAGACTCCCCGGGCTTCACGATGATGGGGAAGCGCTCCTCGGTGCGCTCCACCGGTGTAGAGAGGAGGTGGGTAGGTGGATGAGGTGGGTGGATTCGGGTGCTGACCCCATCCAAACTTGAAGCTATTGCCAATAGGAAATTGAAGAAAAACACACCAACCGCATCCACACCAAATTGAAAAATAAGAGGTTTCGGCCTCTCACAGGATCCTCCGCATGTTCTTTCTATCGGAACTCCCCCCGTTCCATCCGCGGGCGAGGCAAAACCCACCGAGCCACGCTGTCCGTGAAGTCCTTCACCTCGTCCCAGCGTTTCCCGCAGACCGAGCGTACGGCCCGCAAGCCCTGCGCCTTCACCGCATCCTGCTGCACCTGCTCCACGCGAGAACGCGTGCGCGCACGCGGCTCGCGCCAAAGCGGTCGGGCGCGGGTGGGCGGATGGGGTGGGCGGAGTTGGGGGGGTGGCAGATCTGTGGGGGGAAGTAAGGAAGACTCGGGAAGGACCGGGCATATGATCTTCCATACATGCCAGAACCATTCAGTTCGTGAGCTCTGGAGTTTGTCCCGATGCAGAATGCCTGTCATGCCTGTCAAAGCTCCATGAGACTCCGAGGTCACGAACTGAAGGTCGTGGGTGGTATATTGATAGAACATGTATATTCCCAAGGTCACCTAAGGCATCATGCAATCATGCATATTGCCACACTACTAACACATTGATGCTCGTGGTGGAGTGATGTGGAGTGTCTGGTTGCTGGTCTCCATTCAGCTCGCAACGGCTGCACCGTGCTCGCTGCTGCCCCGTGGTCGCACGGAGCCGCCTGCTTGTCCCGGCGGTTCGCCATGCCATGCGCGGTGGTGTTGCCACGCAAGCCCATGTGCTCCTTGGATCTGGGGGTCGAATGTGCCAGGTGGTGGTCTTGTGGAACTCCTCCACCATGATCCTCCCTGCCAGCTCTCCGAAATGGAGGGTTGGGAAGGGCCCCTAAGAGGTCCGGAAGGACCCCTACAGTAAGAGGTCTCAATTGGTGACCTCACAGGGAGGGTGTTGGTAGAGGGAGTTCGTTGATGAAGAGGAACCTGCCAGACAGCAAGGTGTAACCGGATGAGTGCACACGCGTTGAAGCGGCTTGGCCAGCTTGGCTACCAAACCCGGATTTCAGGCAGCCACGAGAGAAGGAACCCGAAGCCCGTTCAGTCTATGGTTTGAGTTGAACTATAGAGTAATATCCGGAACAGTGGATGAATGAACAGGTTGTAGGGTCTTGGCTTCCCATAGCCTGAAATCTCAAGAGAGTCCGGAAAGGTACTTGGAAAAAGAGTTTGTTCTCTTCGTTTATTCTCAATGAAGATACAAAACAAATGAAGTACATCTGCCACAACTGAGCCTGTGCATGTGCTTGTGCAGCATGATTAACCGAAATGCATGTTTCGCCGTTTCGCCTTTCGCCTACACGTCGTGAATCACTTACGCGGGGAACTTGCTCTCACACAAAAAAAAACTCCTGCACCACCTGAGAAACCATAGCCCAATCCACCTCAATCAATCTCGAACAATGTGTTCCTTCTCCCACACGAATCACGCCCCCCGTGCTCATGACCCTATCACCCCACCCACCCTATGACCAACCCACTATGATCCCACCTACTAACCCTTCCGTCTATACCCAAACAACTCCCCAAACTGTACGGCCTAGCAACGGAGAGGGCATCAGCCAGCTTCACACCCGTCTCTCCACCGCAGATCAACGCTTTAGGCTCTCCACCACACGCCTCGCGCAGCAGCGCAGCTGTCGAGCTTAGCGTGGGCTGCTCGTCGAGCTCGGCCAGGAACTTCTCCTCCGGTGAAATGACAGTGGTGAACATGATTGAACATGGATGTGTATGTTTACTCTCACACGGCCATAAGTCAGAGCGAACCTATGGACGAGCATTAGAGGCCATGAAAAAGCCGGCTACTGGTCACTAAAATGTGACATGCAAAAGGTTAAAGGTCAACAGTCTTGGTTGCATGGATATTTGCGTGAGGTCCTACTAGCGACATGCAACCATGTCAAACAACTAATGGACTCTGAGAGCGTGCATCAGACGGGAGGGTTCACCAACATGAACAATGAATCACATGGGAGTACTCCTGCAAAAAAGCGTTTGGAACTGAGGCCCATGGAAGCTTTGTTGAAGGAAAAAAGAGCTACACTGGCTCCACCCCCAAAGCTGGTGAGACATTGACATTGACTACCACCAAGAGACCCTCCAGTGGCCCTACATACACCCTTCCAACTCCCCTTCCCCTCCATCTCAAACTCCAAGCTGCTGGAAAGCCCTTCGCCGCCTGTGGCAGATGTCCCCGCTGCTCGCCCGCATCGGAGGTCCACAGCGCAAGCACCGTGTAACCGCGTCGGTCCAACTCGGGTGCCAGCATCGCACCCGTGGAGTAGGGATCCACCAGCACCACACCTCGCGGGCGGAGCCAGGGCGGAGCCAGGGCGGTGTGGGGTGCCGGTCCGAAGGCAAAAAGGTGGCCCACCGGTGGCTTCGGTGGCTTCGGTAGAACCGACCGGACCGGCGGTGGGGGTTGGGGAACTCTTCATGTCACGGGGGTTTGATGGAGAAATCCACAGCTGTTTTGAACTTCACGACTCAAACAGGTGAATCTTTTGGCCAGAGTTTCATTGAGCTGCTCCTAGAGTGTGCTGGTCTCTATGACTTGGGGTGAAGAGAAAGATGCGTCATAAGTGAGTCACAAGCAACACGGCCTTGATCAAAGGCATCTCCCGTCAAAATGCGTGTTCGCAATCGGATGCCCCCCCAATATCCGCCGAACATGCCCACCTCCGTGCAATGAACGGTTTGAACTCTAAGTTCTGCACTCTCGCTCAGGTAGACTGTTGATCATATATCCAAGAGAGGTTGAGTGACCTGAACTAGGGCCCGTCACCTGGGGTACCGAACTGGGATAGATCGAACGTTCGGGTCCTTCAACCTCTGTTGGATTACCAAGACCCCCAGAAACAGGTTTTAGACCTCCCATGTCTGGAGGAGGGGGTTCATTGAAAACGTCTTCCAGTCTACCAGTCTACCAGCTCAGCCACCGGTTTCACGAAACGTGCCGCCTCAGGACGCTGGACCCTCCAGTTCGTTCTCACCGGGCAGATCGAGGGGTGGTGGAGACCGTCCAAGGCACATGCGCGTGGCTGGGCGTCATAGGTCGAAGCATGATCTGCGGGGCCCTTGCACATGGCTTCTAAAAGGGATGGAAAGGCGGAAACGTCTGAGAGCAAAGAATCGTTTGAACCTGAGTGGCTGCGAAAGCATCCAAGATCCACGTGTGTGTCATCGCTATGGCCTTCCACCGGTGACCAGATCAAGAGCCATCAGCCGATGTATCTCTATGGCGCATGTTCTCTCAGCTTCTATGGTTGCTGTGAGGTCTCAATGTCATTTACTCACAAACTGGGAGCAACTGACCTGCTACAGTGTCCGACAAATGATGCACGAAGAAAACTCAAACACTTCAGTTCCAAAGTGAGTTCCGAACGGCTTTGGAACCCACCCACACCCCAATGTCAATGTTGGGTTCCAGCATGGCAAGCCGATTCAAGCCTCTTCGTGGCTTAAAGGAACCCGGACATGTTTGATGTTCCCCAGCTTCGGGGTTCACGATGAACATCACCAGATCCACCAAACCTGATGCGTTTGGCCTGATGCGTTTCCATTGGTTACATCGGCCCAAGCTCTCGCCAGTGATACTGAGGGAATCTCTGGAAGCTGAAGGGTCTGAATCTCTCTTCCATCTCTGGTAATTGCTGGTGGGGGATGTGCATGGGAGGACGTTTGTGGAATGTGATTAAAACTCATCTGAGGTTCATGATTCATGATCTTGGAAACTTGCAAAGCACGTCTCCCCTTGTATATCTTCTAGTCTTCGACCTCGTTACCGGGGGGTTCCTTCCTCATCCCCATTTGGCAAGATTGCCATAGTTCGATTGAGCCAAGCGCTCTAAGGGGTCTCACACCGGCCAAGTACCGATCAAAGAGCTAATACAAAAAGGGCCTAAGGCCTAATAGTTACTGGAGGAGTTAGTGTTTTGAAAAGCACTTAGATGTACTTGGACTTTGATCTGCTCTCAGTGAGCTTTTGCAAAGTACTCAGTACTCATACAAAAGGGTTGATTCTTTCCGTCAAGGTTAGACTACCGCCTATGACCTGTGAGTTTCGTTTTGGAAAGCCACGCCCTCAAAGAGTCGGTTTCTTTTTGCGGCCACGCACTAGCGTTGGCCACTGGTGTTCATCCAACAAGATGGGGAGTAATCACCTTCAGAATCAAGATGATATCCTGCCGGAAAGAAACCAAACAGAGCTTCTCTTTGTTTGCCAAAGTAAGCGAAAACAAATGATTTGAATCAATCAAAACATAGAAAAAATGTCTTGGTAGGTCTAGGTCTATATAAGAAGTACAAGAACTGATGTGTCCAAAACAAGAAAAAAAAGGACATCCATCCATCCATTCTGTCCCCCAACTCCACCAGGGCTCCCCAACCTCCCCCCATCCTCTCCCCAACTCTTCGGATGGCGCCCATCGGCTCACATTGTCTCAGCCCAGCTCCACTTTCTGCCATGGACTCCGGGGACCCGCACTTCATGAACCACGACTGCACCGGAATCTGCCGCGGGATCCTGGGCGCAGAGCTTCGGACCCGGCCGGATCCTCACCAGGGTAGGTTGACCAACTAGTCTGGGCATCCATTCTGTTTATTTTCTCTGGTCAACCCATGTAGCCGGGTGCCATGACCCAATATAAAACATACGTTGACCCCAAATCAACCACCCCAACTGATCGGTAAATATGCCAGTCCCATTAGTCGTGTCTGGGAGTCTGGGAGATGCGACGACGCACCGGATGGCCAGGTTATCAAAAAAAATCAATACCTTATCAACAAAAAATCAACTTTACATCAAAAACAAGTTATCCCTTCACAAAGAGCTGCGCCTACCACTGCGAACCGCATTGGCAGGGCTGCGCGATGTGGACCTTGATGTGACGATTTCGTGGCAGGCAGGGCACTTTGAGCACTTTGAGCACCTTTCGTGGCAAGCGCGGCACTGTTTGCACTCGAAGTGCAGATTCCGTGTCAGGCGCAGCTTTGTGCACTGGAAGTGCAGATTTCGTGGCAGGCGCAGCACTTCGTGAACCTCGAAGTGCAGATTTCGTGGCAGGCACAGCACTTTGTGAACTTCGAAGTGCAGATTTCGTGGCAGGCGCGGCGCTGGGTGAACCTCTAAACGCAGATTGTGTGGCAGGCGCAGCGATTGTGAACCTCGAAGTGCGGACTGCGTGGCAGGCGCAACATTCCTGTGGGTCTCAAAACCTTGAAAGGCAAAGGCGTTCTATATCCCTGGATCTGAAGACGCGAGGTACTTCTCATCTGTGCTTCCGCGGTTGAAGTCCACATCGTTCCTTCATCCTCCTTGGGTGCCAGTGTTGTTCCGGCCAACCAACAACACAATGGACCCCTGTACACTGAGGAGGAAATTAGCGAACCCAAAATTGGATGGCAAAACTTCAGCAGAGCGTTAAAACTACAGGGGGTGCCCAACGATGTAAAGGAAGTAATCCAAAACCACGAAGAAAGGAGAAAACGGGAAGATCATCAAGGGGCACACAAGAACCCAGCCAAGCACCTAGCCGGCGGAGCCAGACAGCACCCAACCCAAACAGCACCCGCCAGGAAAGCAAAAAGGCAGAAGGTCCCGGACAAGACCGGAAACCTGCTCGGAGGCCCGGAAGACCGGAACCCCCGCTGAAAGAAAAAAGGGGACGAGACCAGAGCCCCGCGCCTGGACGAGACCGGCGCGCATTGCGAGTAGAAAGGCAGGAGCCATAAGGTCAAAGATGCCAGCCAAGGTACGTGGTCGGCGACGGCGATGACCGTCTTCCCCTTCGCCGCGAAGTGATCTCAGGCACATCCCTTGAAGTTCCTCGATACTCCGTGAAGTCTGCCTGAACGAGCGCCCACGCTCCCTCCCGCTCTATCGCAAGTGTCGAGAGTTTCGTGCTCATGAGATTCATGTAGAGCGTATACCTCCAAGAAGATTTTGTCCTTTTGGGGATTGGGTTTTGCACCGTTTTTTCCGGAGCGCCATTCAAGATCAGCTGAAGTGCTGCCGGGTACCTGTATCACTGGCTATCTGAGCTCGCTGCACCAATGGAAAAACAAGCACTGCCCGCTAGAGCGAGAGACTTTGAAGCCCCAGAGACTACTGCCTGCAGTTCACTTGACAGCGTGTCTCGAATCACTCCTCCTGTCGGAACATATTGCGGAGTTGCGTCCAAGTCGTAATCTGCAGCAGCTAGCGCTTTGCGAGAGGGTCGGGACACCAGCCTTAACTCCCAGGCGGGCCAACTCCCCTCAGCGAGGCGGGTCCGTAGCCCGGCGAGCGCGGGCGCATCCCACGATGACGTAAGGCGCGGCCGCTTGAGGCTGCGAAAGTGCACAAAACGACCCATGGGTTTCCTTTTGGTGGTGGTCGACTTGCGTTGGAGAGGCTGCCAATAGACTAGGAAGGGTCAAACGCGCAGAGGGCAGGCTCTCGTGAGTTGTCGGAAAGGGAGCCGATTGGTCCATGCGAACTTTGAGCGGTGGGCCACGCTCAGCTGAGCTGCTGCTGGCGATGGTCGCCTTGCCTACATTGTAGGAAGCAAGTTCCTCAGTAAGTGCCACACAAGCAGTCCTGCTGGCAAAGAAAATGAGCTGGAGCTCGGACCGGAGAAAAGGCCACATCTTGAGGTCTGATAAGACCTCTGGACTTCATCTCGGCCTTTACGTTCTTATAGACCCTGAAACAAGTCTAGACCTCTAGGACCTTTCTAGATCTCAAGACAAAAAGACTCTGAACCTCTGGAACCCCTGAGTTTCTAGACCTCTACACCTCTAGATCTGTCTGGATGTCCAGGCCTCTGGATCTTTGTAGATGTAGACCTCCCTGCTTCTCAACCATGATCTCCTGAACCTCCGGACCTGTAGATCTCACAACTATATACCTAGAATGGCTCCTTCCTCTCCTAAATTGTACCCAAAATTTCTACTATATACTCTCTAAGGTCTGCTGCCTTGGCCTATCACCTTCCTCCTCTAAATTTTTTCCGCGGGTGGCTCACATAAGGTCTGCTACGTTGGAATAGCGCCTTCCTTCTCCAAACTCTACCCCCGGGCTGCTCACAAAACAAAGGCCTGCTACCTACATTGGAATGGCAGCTTCTTCCTCTAAATTGAGCCATCGCAAGGCTAACAATAAGCCCGCTGCGTTGGAATGGCTCCTTCCACCCCTAAAATTTACCCTCGCGCGGCTATTGAGAACAAGGTGACATTCGTGATCAACGGACACCGGGTTCCCACGGGAGACCGTGGAAGTCTCGCAGCCCAAACAGGGGAGTCGTTGAGTCAAGATCCAGGATTCAATTCTGTCCTGGTCCTCAAGTTCAGCCAGCCAAAGATCGGTGTGTTTCTGGTGGACATGTCGAACCAGCCAAGCGGCACATTGAGTCCTCTAGATGTCTTCCGACAGGGACTCAAGGTGCTCCAAGGCGTTCGCCGTTCGCCCAATTTGTCCAGGATCCGTACCTGAAGGTCATGACCCAACACCTGAAAGGCAGGCTGAACCCTTGTTGGTCCTGCGCAGTGGGCAATGCAGGCTCCACAATCGTTTGCGCAGCGCAGCAGACGAGAATCTGACTCAAAGGTGATGCTCATGCCTCTGTACGGTCTGCACTGAAAGCGTCGGTGAAGTCCATTGTTGCCCAGTCAGCTGCGCAGATGCTCCATTTCGCTCAAGCCTGCTGCTCCGCTCGACATTGACACACTTAGGCATCGTCCGGTGAAGGGAACGCCTGCAAGAATTCATGTGCATCTTGCTGGTCCCATTCCTGGAGACAACCCTGAAAGGAAGTCAACAAGCTTTCGTGGCAGCAAGGTCCTCAAAAGCCTTTGCAAGGGAGGTCAGCTGCAAGACAGCAAGCCTCAAGGACAAGGTCGCGGCATTCTGGTAGCAAGTGTTGCCATTGTTGCGCAACCTCATAGCGAGAGGCCAATTATTTCATTTTGGGGTACCTTGAAGTCAAGCACTTGGCAAGGCATTTGCCAGCGGGCGCTCCTTCATTTGATGAGGGCGTACTCTGGCTTGGACCAGAAGCCAGATGGCCGAGCCCAAGAGGAGATGCAAGATCTCCCCCATAGCCAGCGTTGCCTCACGCTGACTTGAATCAGCCAGGGACAAACTTACGAACGTGGTCATGTTCTCCCCCAT